GTCTGGGAAGTTTTCTACTATTACTTCTGTGAACAGGATTTTTATGTCTATTGTACTTTCTCCTGTTTTTTCATGGACTCCTATGAGTCTTATGTTATTCTTCTTTGCATCATCTAGCAGCTGTTGGATTGATTTCTCATGGTCCCTTACTATCTTTAAGAAATCTCTGTTTTCATGGTCATTCACTGCAATCCTGTCTTCTATGTCTGATATTCTGTCTTCAGATTCTCTTATTCTGCTCTGCATGCTTTCAATGGAGTTTTTCATCTCCTGAATATCTGTTTGAATCTGTTTCATGGATTCCATTTCTTTCTTATATTGGATGGTCATGGTTTCCATTTCTTTCTTATGCTGGGTATTCATGGCTTCCAACATGTTTCTGATCTCATCTATTTTCTTATCTGTTTCTGCTCTAGAGCCTCTAATCATGTCTTTCACTCTACTCCCCATCTCTGTATTTATCTGGGAGATTATTTCTGCTTTGAAATTTTCTAGAGCCTCAGGCATCTGCTTTGTTACTTCCTGTGCTATCAGTTCAAGGTGTCCAGGTGGTTGATTACCAGTCTTTTCCACCTCATTTCCCCCAGAATTTCATTTTTGTGGCATGGAAGCCTGCATTTGTGCCTTGCTTAAATGTCTTCTCATTTTTGTTTTTAGTACTGTCCTTGATTTAATTCCTGGGTTGATATTTCAAAATTGCTTAATGCAGGTATCTTTGTTGCTTGTGTTTAAAACCCTTGTAGAATGATTGCTTTTCAGAGGTTTCTTCCAAATACGGCTTGTGTTTTGGTTTTGAGTCTCTAATGACTCTGAGGCTATTTTATTTTCCTTATACCAGGAAGGAAAACTGATTAGATCAATCACAACATGTTAGACCAAATGACACAATCAGCAATACCATAGCATCAAGTGCAGCTTAGAAAATGACAATTTGTGGTAGTTATTAATCTATCACATTTAACTATGTGAAGTATAATCCCCTGTGCCTCTAGTGTGGGACCATGTAGCAGAAGAGCTGGTGGGCGGGGAGGGGTTGGGGTTGGAACTGGGCCTTGTACAGCTAAGTGGAGTGCCAGATGAGGGTGGGGCTCCAAGCCGCTCCGGGGACCTCACCATAGCATGAACAGGAACTGGAATGCCGCCCAGGAGCTTCACGCTGCTTGGCTGACCCATGGAGCAGAGCGCCGGATGAGGGCGGGACTCCAAGCCGCTCCTGGGACCTCACCATGGCGTGGGCAGGAACCGGGACGCCGCCAAGGAGCTTCATGCCGCTTGGGTGACCCCTTTTATCTAAATTTTTAATGGCAAATAGCTCAGAGTTCTTACCTGTTGGGAGACCAATCTGTTATGGTGCCCAAATCATATTTTCCTATTTATTTTTTTCAATTTGCTTACTTGAAACATTGAGTAAAATTAGAATTTAGATATGATAATGGAACTTTATGATGACAAACTGTATGATTTGGCTTTTGTTTCTTTCCCTTTGTAGTAGCATGTTTGTTAAGGGTTCTTATATTGACATAGTTATATAGTTTACCCACTCAGTCCTTCAGTAAAATTCATGGAAGACTGATCAATGGGGCCAAGCTACAACTGGACAGGAGCAAGAAACTGGTGTGCTATTGCATAGCAGGGTGACTACAGATAGCAATGATGCACTGTTCATTTCAAAAAGCTAGAAAAAAGGATTTTGCAAGTTTTTACTGTAAAAATGATAAATGTTTGAGGAAATAGATATGTTTAACCTGATTTAAATATTATACAATGAACGCAGGTAGCAAAAACATCACATTATACCATTGATGTGTACAGTTTTATTTTTATTTACCAGTTAAAAAGAAATTTAATTTAAAAAAGAGTATTGATTCTATGGCATACTTGTGTTAAAATCTTCCATAGGCAAGGAAAAGATTTATAATAAACCTCAGTCCCATCTAATCTAAGTTCAAATCAATAGAATAATGGCATTCAGGTTCAGAGTTTTGAAAGGGGGAAAAAGCTAAACAATAAATATTTGGGTAAATATTTGTGCAACACTAATCAATTCTAGTATAACTTAATTCTATAACTAAAGGGAAGGATATATTTCATAAACAGTAGTACAATGATTTATTTCAGTTTTATAATAGTCATTACTTTTTTGTTATTTTTATAATTTTTTCAACACTTGAGACATTCTTAATAACAAAATTTCTCACATGTTGAAACCTTTTGGAATTCCCTTCTTTTGAACACTTTCATTCAGATGAATTATTAAAATGTTCAATGAAAGAAAGGTATAGAGAAATTATAGGCCAGAGAATTATAGAGTTAGGGAAAGGGAGAGAGATGCCATTCAAGAATTCAATAGTCTAAACTTCAGTCAATTAAATTAATATTAAAGTGGAATGAAGTGAAAACTAGATTGCTCACAGTACTTTCATCTGGTCAAATTCCTCCAAGAATTCCTGTTCCCATGAATATTTAGCTTTCTAAGACTTAGGAATGAATCTGATTTTTACTTTGAAGAAACACATACCATATATGTTCTGAAAAATACAAATGCAAATTCAATGAACCCCCTAATATTGAACCCATCTGTATTGAATCCCTGTGTATAGCAATCAAATTGAAAATTCAGGTCTATTACATGCACATGTAATATTTCTAGAGTATATCAAATTCCATCCTATATCAAATTTTTTTCCTTGGGTTCCTAGAAATTTAATATAAGCTAGTTTCACTCTATTTGAAAAGGACATGATGCAATATAATGTGTTTTTCAATGAATAGAATTCTTGGCAATTCAATTTATGTTCAGACCTTCTTAAAGGCAACTTACTTCCTAGAGGCCTCCCGCCAGAGTTCAGTTCCAAGAACCTTACTCAAGTAACATTCCTTTTAGCTTGAAAGACTGTGAAGGAAAATTAGAAAGAATTTTGATCATGATTTTTAAAATAAACATGCCACAACCCAGTCAAATAGAGAGGAATATGTGTTTGGGAGACTAATCATGTCCCTGGTTTGGGTTTCTAATGCATGCCTGACCTCTGGACATGTAGCCTCTCTTTCGTGGATACTTAGGCCTTATTATCCTTCATAAGGATAATAGTGTGGGTGCACACACACTAACTGCTTAGGAAACAGTTGAATTAGTATGTTCAGTGGTGACAGAGTTGAACTATGTAGTCAGAGACACATAGTAAAGCTTAAAAGCCATCACCTCTTACTGTTTTCGTAGGTCCAATTTTTTGGTTCCTTTTTTCCTGTAACGTGAAGTCTTCCTCAATAATCCAAAATTGTTATTTCCCACTGGTTTGCATTTTCTGCCAATGTTTCCTTTTAATTTTTTAGGTAACTAATCTCTGATTCTAGCTGATTCTCATTTATATACACATCTATGTATCACATAACTCTGATTATGGTTATTGTTAAATAAAATAGACTGTTATATCCTATGTTCAGCATCTTCTGAGTAGTAAGCCAGGCCTGTTAAAAATGCACTCATTAAAGAGATTCCATTTAAAATCTTGGAAAGCCTACATTAAGAATACTTTCTCATATTGCTCTGTCAATCTTCCCTGCACCTGTTAGCATGTTTAGAAAATGGCTTTTTATAATTCAACCATCTTATTGCAAGTGGAAAAAGACTCACAAAAGTAATTCTGATTATTCAAATTGTTTTGTAAAACATAAAATTAAGAACACATCTTATAATAAGCACTAATAAACTTAGCAACTAGATATAAATAAGATATAAGTTATTAAAGTATTCTAATATGATGGGAAAGAGTTATAGGCTCATATAATTATCCTTGCTGAATGTAAACAGTTTCTGAGATAGTTTTAACTATTTTTAGTGCTTGAAATCTTGATGCTTTCTTGGATATACCAGCAGAATTGGCACAGCTTCGATCATTATAGCGCTTGTTTTTTAACTCTCCAACGCATAATAAACCTATGAACTCCATTAACTGTAATCGATATGCATGCAGGAACGTAAAGGCCTTTCCTGGCCCTCTCACTGACTCAAACAGGAAGCCAAAACGAGTATGACGCCAAGTCCCATGCAAGTAATCAGGTACGTCATTTTTCATTTGAAAAGAAGTCCTCTTCAATAATAGAAATGCTGAGAAAGGTTATTACAATAACAAATGAGTTGACTGGTGATTTATGCTTGAAACAAATGTACCTTCGGATGGAATCCTTTTTAATTCCTTATAAATCCTGGGCTTAGTGGACAGGGTCTGACTCCGGGAATTCAGCAGTTGAATGCACTCAGTACTTTGAATTCACTTGGTTCATTTCTTGTGGACCAAACAGCTGTTTTCCATAGTCCACCCGGCAGGTATCTGTTTGGGGATTAGTAATGCTTCACATGGTCATACATCATAAGAAATGGATGTGTAATTACATTAAATATGCTTCATCTCTTTAGACTCACTTATCCTGAATCACTGATATTTGAGTCATCCAATAATAGTTCCCCATAAACTGCTTTACTTTTTAAACAACAACATCTTAATGTAGTGGTTTTAACTTCAAAATGCCCCTGAAAGCTTCCTCCTTAATTTTGTTGAGCGTGCCTTAGCTCCTTTATCCAAACTTGCATTTTTGAGTGAAACAGTCCTGAGTCTACCTAAACACAGAACTAGGCTTGTACGACTCTAGGATCTGAATTAAATTCTGAGAACTTAGCTGCAAACTGTCCACACAGGATCATGGACTTTTGTGGTGCTATGGGGCCTAAGGATGGGATGGACCACTGCTGGTCACCAAGAAAGGCTTCTGAAAATGCCCCGCAGGCCACAAAAGAATCAGCCCTCGTTCTTGTCAATTAATTTTTGCCACGTCATACCTCCCTCCGTCATGGAGTGTCAAAGTCAAATGCACTCTTCTAGATTTTTCTCAAAAGCAGCCCACGTCCTTCTCACAAATGATTTCTCCCAATTTCCTTAGAAATCCTGCAGTTTTCGCACCCTGCTAACAAGCTCTTCTACTTCAGTTAATTGTCACATCACCTCCCATAGCCAAATTATGATTCTATGAGAGTAAACTTTCAAGAAGACCTCCACTACTTCTGGATATTTCTTCCCTATCCATTTCTAACAAGAAGCAGGAATGGTGACTATCTGTTATTCTTGTGTCATCCCAAACATCTATCACCGTGCCCTACACAGTATAGATGCTTAATAAGTTCATCTTATGTTAACTTACATTCAATTTAACAAAATGAGCGATTTTGCCAAATCTAAAATAATGGCCATGGTTAGGACAATTGTTGCATTATAAAACGTTATTGGTTTATTTGCATATTTGCTGAGTGCGCACTGTGCACCAAGTGTTTTTCTAGTTACTGGTAACACAGTGGCAAACAGACAAGATTCTTGTTCTCTTCTAGTAGGAAAAGATAGGGAACTTAGGGAGACACATATAAGTATAGTTACAAAGAGAGTAATAATGTTTTTGATGAAAATGAGATAGGGAAGTCGCGAGACAGTATGCCTGGCTTAGGGAGGGGAGGAAATCTTTATTTTTGAGACACTGCCATTTAGGCTAAGACTTGAGTCATGAGATGAAGTTGTTATATGTGGAGAAAGCACACTGAATTTGTGGAATAGGCTAGGGAGACCACTGCAACTGCAGCAAAGTGAACTAAGGGGAAAGTGTGGAAGAGAAACATGGATCAGTAGCAGAATTTATGACGTGTGCTGCGAGTTGCTACTTACTGCAGGGAGTTAGACAGACAACACAGGAGGAAATGATGTCTCTCTCAGACCTTTGGAAATGGGAGTGGGTTGGAGACCTCTCCTCCCTTTCCCTCACTCTTACCTTTCCTCCCTTTTGTCCTACCTTCTCCCTTCCTTCCATTTTTCTTCCATTCCTTCCTCCCATCTTTTTTTTTGTTGTTGTTTTTGTTTTTTGAGACAGAGTCTCACTATGTAGTTCAGGCTAGGTTTGAACTCACGGTGATCCTCCTACCTCAGGCAGGTGCCACCACGCCCAGCCCACCCATCATTTTAAAGTGGGAAACACTAGCATTTGTTTGTCACTGATGAAAATGACCAAGGAAGAATAATGATATAGGAGACCAAAGGTTACAATTCAAGAGGACAATCCCTGAGAAAGCAGGAACACAAACTCAGCCACAGGGACGGGGCAAAGATGGGACAGGAGCGATGAGAGATGGGAGAAGATGTGGACACTGAGAAGCTCATATTTACTAGGCAGGGGCCCTGTGAAGGAGCTTCTGGTGAACACCACTTGTTTTCTCAGAGGAGTATGAGATGCAGCCATCAGCTGTGAGCAGGTAGGGAGTTTTAGAAGAAATGTCTCCTGGGGGAGGATATGGTAAGATTGCCTAGAATTGTTGACATGTGAGGAGGTATCACAGTGTAACATAGGTATTTAGAGAAATTTATGTTGGAAAAGCATTAGAGAAAAGTCTGGGAAAGGTTCCATATAAGGAAGGGCTAGACAAACTGGGCTTAAAGGAGAAAATATTTAGAAGTAAAGGGTAAGTGACAGTTAAGAGCATGGAACTGGGCTTGCTGGTGCATTCTTGTAATCTCTGCACTAGGGAGACTGAGGCAGGAGAATTGCCATGAGTTCAAGGCCAGCCTGGGCTACATAGTGAGTTCAAAGCCAAAAACCCCACAAAACAACAACAACAACAACAACAACAACAAACAGAAAGAGCATGGGGTATAGAGTCTGCCAGACTTGCATCTGAATCCTGGCTCTTCTCTTTTCAGCTGCTGTGACCTTGGACAGGTTACCTGTCCCTCTCTGAGCCTTAGTTATTTTGTCCATGAGCGATGTAAATCCATTCCCTACCTCAGGTTGCTACACCAGAGATCCAACGATACCTGCTATTTATTGTATGAATATGTGTGTGGGGTTATTCAGTCACCAAAGAGCTGTTGTGTGGAGGGGACACCAGGCCTATTCTATATAGCACCAGAGAACAAATCTAGAACATGAGGAATCAAAAAGAGGAGAGCAAAAACAACTTTCTTGCGGCTGGAGCTGTCCAAATGTGGACTACGTCTCCTGGTGAAGGAAGGGGTTTCCCAACATGGGAGTTATTCACTCCATGGTGGGGTGACGGCCTATAAAGGATTCTGCAAGGACCTTGGTGGGGAGATGTATTCCAGTGTGTTCATATGCCTGGCTAGGTCCTGCATATCTGCATGTATAACTTCTCATTGTAAATAATTTGCATAGCAATCTTGATTTGGATGTATACAAATACTTTGGTCTTGATGAAGCCTGAAAAATCAATGATATTATTCTTTTCACACATTATATTATGGTATTGGATCATTTAAAGAATTCTATTAGGTGGATATTATTTTGTTATACATCAAGAAAGGAAGATAGGTGAGTTTATTTGACCATAAACTTAAAGAAAAATTAGTCTAAAGATCAAGATGACGTTGTATAATTTGTAAAAATTCCTATCTCAATTCCTTTAGGAATTGCTTAGAGTTTATAGACTGTCAAGGATTATTCAAAGTCAACTCTCTTCATAAAACATGAAAAAATACTGACTCATCTGATAATGTTCTTGGAGGTAACAATTTATTTTTTTAAATGACCAATTATTAAAGTTAATTTACATCATCAAGTTTCCTGTATTAATGAGCAATTTTAGCATCAACTTGTAGATTACTATTGTAATTTGCTAGTGGTGTAGTCTTTGTATAAAATAACACTGAAGTCCCAAGTGTTACTATATTTAAATTTGATGGTAAACAGGGAAAATGGCTGGGGATACCCTGGAAGACACTACATGCAAGCTTTCAAAAAGCATTTGATGTAATTAACTGAACAGGAGGAATGCAGCTCCTACAGTCACATACATCTGAATGGATTTGTTGAAAGACTAGATCTCCTAAGACTTTCTCCATAATCAAAAGCATTTTCAAATTATGCTCAAATATTGTGTGAAAGGAAAAGATTTTTTCCATCACTATTTCTGGCTACATGGAGAAAATATTTCATTTAGGATTTTGTTTTAATATTCAATGCAAACTGCCTAATGCTTCTTTCTATGTTGGAGAAGAAATATTGCAAAACTCACTTTCTTAGAGGTGGAAAATAATTCCACTCTTTAGAGGAAAAATGCATACATTGTTAAGGCGATCAACTTCTGAGTTTTCTGAAAAATTATATAATAAGCCAAATAGCTGAATCTTCAGCAGCATTTGCCAGAAACTGGAACACAATCAAAGGTGGCTGAAGAGAGGAAATAATAAGAAATGGAGGAGAAAGCTGTGCAGTGGCAACAACTCAGTTCTGGCAGATTAGATGTGAAGGGAAACAGATCCTTTTATTCACCAATCAGCATGATACTAAATATCTTCACAGGATAATGACTTACTGTAGAACTTGAGTTTTTTTCTCTCATCAGTAATATGAGGTAAGAATAAGAATAAGAGTTGTAACAAGAGCAAAATATAACACAGGGAGTTAAAAAAAAAGTAGTAGTTTTGATCATTGGGATGGTTCCTGAAAAGGATTCATAGCATTAAAATAGCTACAGATTGATTCACGTAATTTATTCCCTCTTCTGTGCTTCCTCTTGGATGAGTTTGGAAGGGATTTCAATAAATTGCTGTATGAGTTTCCTAGGGCTGCGTTGACAAAGCCCCAAACATGGTGGCTTTAGAACAACAGATTTTTCTTTGTCTTTTTTTGGTCTCACAGTTCTGGAGGGCAGAAGTTCAACATCAAGGCATGAGCAGGGCATGTCCCCTCTGAAGGTGCTAGGGAGGGAGCTCCAGGGCTATCTCCTGAGTTCTGGTAATCTCCAGAATCAGATGTGTCACCTCAGTCAGCTGGACATCTTGTATGGCTTCCCATCACTTTCTCTCTGTGTGTGCCTGTCTCTGTTACCAAAGTTCTCCTTGTTATAAGGTTACACATCATATTGGGTTAGGGTCCACCCTAATGATCTCATCTCAACTTGATTACCGCTATAAAAACTCTATTTCCCAATAAGGTCACATTTTAAGCATTGGAAGACGGGGCATTAACAGTTCAGCTCACAACAGTCATGTTAAATGTCTTTTTTTTTCTTTTTTTGAGAAGAAAGTTGAAGTGTTGACCTTATACAGAGAAGCTACAATTCTTTCTACTTCTCATTACAGCATCTCACAGACATAAGAACTACTTTTTGACGGACTGATTGTGATCATGGGATCACATCACTTTTTGAAGCTCTTTATTATCTCTCATTCATTCAGGCACCATTCAGGTGTGAAAAGGTGATTTGTGCACTAAAGCAAAGTGAAACCTTCTCCAGGACCCAGTGTTACCTGTGTCCAGTGTCACCTGTGCTCTACTAACTAAAGCTGGCCAGTAGAGACCCTGGGTGAGAGGACATGGACAGATACTCTTTTACAATATACTTGAGACCTATAAACAAATTTAAATGGGATTCAGAATCCTTGACTCCAAGGTTCTGGAAGAACTGGGAGGAGGTCACTGATGCCTCTCTCTGCTTATTTTTGTTTGGCTCTGCCAAGTTCCCCCCATTTTTCTTTTTCTGATCTCTTAGGGTTGCTTGACCCTCTGTCTGCTGAGGTGAACCTGCTGCATCTGCTGAGGTGAACCTGCTGCCTCTCCTGTTTTCTTCATCCACCTGAACCACTTACTCATTCCTGTGGTACACTCTTCTGCATATGATTTGCAGCCCTGGTATCCATGTGTTCCACTTGGCAACAAATCTGTTGTATTATTTAACTCTTAAACATTTTGGGCATATATAAGATATCTCTTAACCTGGTTTGGAGCTTCCTATAGCTAGGACTCTTTCCCTGGTCTCACAGAGCTTGGTATACAGTTGGTACTTGATAAACTAGTAATTGAAGTTGCAAAATATTGTTCACTGTAAATAAGGTGCTTTTGCTTTCTGGTTTTGCTTATTAATACATGTGTTTCTAAGTTGGAAATGATAGTCTTAAAATGATAAGCCACATTTTCAGAGAATCTCATATTACTTCTGTGTAATGTACACATGAACTCTTAAAACATTCTGACCGCCTAGGGGGAGGCATATCAACCTCCCTGATTTATAGATTATTATATTGCAGGTTGATTCTTTTCCAAGATTCTGAGATTCTCCAATCAGTACAAAAACAAAACTGTAGAATACTTGATGTGATTTGATATTTTGTGAAAGGTAGTGAAAAAGCTGGTTTTGTGTTCAGATTGTCTTGGGGCCCAAACAGAGCAACACAAGTGGACAAGTGACCAGCCAACATCTGGACAACACAGCTCCTGAGGCTGTTAAAATGGTATGAATGAAGTAATGTATATAATCCTCAAGGGTTAAAGCAATAGGAGGCATCATTATTGTGATGGAAGTGCCATTCATTGACTGTATACATATCTGTATGTGTACATCTGTGCAGTGGAATTAGATGCCATTGAACTAGATGTATTAATTCCCTGAAGTGTGTCCTCCCTGAGACTCAAGGAATTGGTAATGTTGGCTTGATGGTCCACAGGAAATTAAAATAATGGAATTCTTTGGTAGCATATGAGTTGACCCTGTACATAAAGGTTGTGCCCAAATGGCAGATTGAGGAATAAATTCTAATTCCTTGATTATAAAGGCCTTTTTCCTCAGAACAGCACCTTGCCATCTGTCTTTTTAATCTCTGGAAGGAAAACCCCAGCCTGATTCCAAACTCTCTTTCTCTATAATGGGAAATCTCTCTGTGTTTGATGAACCTAAGTGAAAAATGCAGTCTCATATCCATGTATTTATTAAATCTCTGGTTGCATAAAGGTTTCACTCCAAAGTAATGTTCAAAATAAATTGCTTCCATGATTGTATTGTTAGAATGCACATGTATGATTTCTTCTCTCTGCAATTCTAAGATGACAATATATCTTGGGGAGCATTAATGATACAAATTCAAACTACCAGGGCAATCAGCAACAGACAGATCAGAAAATTGTAGTGATTGGCCTAAGGACTCCTTCTGAGTTCTTAGTGCTCAGAAGGCTCAGAAGCCTCCTCCAGGAGGTCTAGCTTATCATTTTTCCCCCTCCAGAGACTCTAAGTCAGAAAAATGAGTTTTGCTCAGGACATGATAGTTCTTCTCTGTGCTTGGAGTTCACCTGAGTGCTTCTTCAAGAGGCCAAATCTGTGTCAGAATAAAACTTCCCATGAATCTCACAGCTACACTAATCCCTGACACTCTTTGCCCAGCAATACACATGGGAGTGTGTCTTCTATGGCAGGACATTTTCAGTTCAGTCTAGTGCTTGCTACAGTAAGCAGACTTCTATCTAGTGAACAGATTGGAAAACCAGCAGTGTATAGTTGTGCTTTCTGGGGTTCTTGGTGCTCTTGGATTATTATCATCCAAGCGGTCAGAAACAGTCCCATGTGGTCAATATTTTTCCATTGCTTATCAGGTATCATGTGGCTTGCTTAGTTATCTTGTTTAATTCCTGTGATACTCCTTTGAAGCAGGGATATATTTTATCCTCTTTTACGGATGAATACACTAGGGCTTATCAAGTTTGAGAAATTTGCTGATGTTTGCTTGGTTGGTGAGAAGAAAAGTTGAGATTTGGACCCAGGCAGACAGATGTCAAAGTTTGGAGGCTGGATCATCTAGTCACGTCTTTGAGGCAGTAGAGGGCAGTGGTGGTGAACCTGTGGCATGGGTGCCACATTAGGCTGTTTGTATCATTGAAAGCTCTGAAAGGTTTGCCATCACTGGTACAGAGTGTGGTCAGCAGTTCTGCTACTTACCTAACTGAGCTGTTGCTACCTTCTTGTGAAGTGAAGCAATAGGAACTGGCTACACAGAGCTGTAGAGAGAATTAAGTGTGATAATGGATATAATATGTTCCATAGATGTTAGCTATGGCGATTGACCTGTATTTTGCCATTTCATAAGGTCTGTTTCTAACTCTGGTTTATAGGGTAGTCCTAATGATTCTTTCTATCAATGAGAGTGTCAGCTGATTACCTCCAGTCATCTCACCTCTCAATAGAGGGATAATGGTGATTAGAGCTCTGAGTCCTTGTCTGAGAGCAAGGAGACCTGGCTCCTAGCACCTATTCACTGAGACAGGTCAGAGTGAGCAGAGCTTGGTTATAGTTGGTGCTCAGAGCTCTCATCCACAAACCAGGAGAACAGAACTAGGTATTTTCTAAAGTTCTGTTCCTGGTCTATATGAAGTCAGTTCTCTGTCTTTTGGAAATTCTTCTGTCACTATCGGCTTTTTTTTTTTTTGCTTAAATTCTTTTATTTGTACATTTTAGGTATACAATACATTTACATTTATCATTGGGTACTTATACCTGTACTTGACGTATCTTGGTTCTTATTTTTTCCCCATTCCCTGTCCTCCCTTCACCCCCTCCACCCTTCCCTATTTACAAACACTATTTCCATTTTTTTCCTTTTCTCATAATTTTTCCTTTCCCTTCTTACCTTTCCCCCTTTCCTACCCCTTAGGACCTTTTCTTCCTATTTCAAATTATCAATTATTCATTTTAATCCTTATTTACACTTTCAGTTTCTCACACCAGAGAAACTGTTT